GCTGTTTTACTGGTAAAGTACTATTAGCTGAAGTATTTTTTTAAATAAATTATTCCAAATATTTTTAAACAAATGCTTTTATATTTTTTAAAGATATTTATCTGAAACACCTCAAAGCAGTAGAATTCATATATATATATATATATTATATATATTATCACAGCATGCTTTTTAAAATATAAAACTAAGGTGAATTGCAAGGAAAACTGGAAATCACATGTTTTCCCATCTATAAAATAAGTAAAAAACTGCTTACTGATAAAAATAGTTTGTATTTTTCTCTTTAGGGTAGAATATATATTCCTTTTGAGCAATAAAAAAATTTTCCAGGTGGAGGGGCGAAAATTCGTTAAAAAAATCCGACTGAGAAGAGGTTAAGAACCGCTTCTGTAGGAAATTACTTGAAAGTAATTTGATTTAAATGCATATAATTATTTGTTAAAAACTGATTAAGTACTGTATTTAAATTTTAACATATTTTCTATTGTATTTCTACTACACAAAAATCACCCAAAAATTGCCTTAATTTTTACTAATAGGAATCTTTAGCTACAAACCATTTTCCCCACAAGTATTTCTCATTCCTTATCTTTTACCATTATTATAACAAAAGTCGCAATGAAAAATCAATATTCCTGTCTGGAATTGTGGGAAGCAATAGCTTTGTAATGTATCTTATTAGCATTTTAATAGGTATTTGGAATCTAAACAAATTGAAAGGAAGTATTGACCCGCAAAATAAAGTGTTCCTCTAAGTACTCTTATTGTTCATCCAGTCATCGACAATGATATGCAAAGTAACAGTCTCTTTATGATGAAGCTGGGATGATGGTTGATTTAAGATACGCTGGGGATATTTAGATACGCAAGATTTTCTTATTAATAATATGTATCTTTTCTTAAAGTTACATACTTTTTTGCATGCAAATCGTTCTCAAATAATTGCCTTGTATAAAGCAGGATATTGTCTGAAAGGAGAATTTTATGTGAATAGAATACTTCAATAGACATAATATTTAATTTTCTAGACGAGTTATTTCAAGGCGAATTTATTGTGTTCAAAAATTCTAAAATGTATTTTCAAAAATGCTTTGAATTCCATGGAGTTTCGAAAAAATAAAATGAAAGAATAGTATATTTTACAGAATGGTATGTTATTAACATTGTATATAAATATTTTAAAAATAAAATAACCTTCATGCATGTACTTTTTGTAGATGCTTCTTAATTAAATGAATGACTTCTGATTAATTAAGAATAAAACTTTTATACACATTAAGGGTTACAAAACACTAAAAAAAGGTGGAAAAATATTTAAAACAAAACAGGTTTCGTAAGTTTCACTAAGGGCTTTTTTCACACACATGGACAAAATACTTGTGTTTCAATTCCAATGCAAATGAAGTCATTCTAGCTTTAAAATTTGCTTTATAATGATTTTTTTTAAAAAAAATTATGTTGCAGGGACCGTGCATTTATCGTTGGATGTTTCATTAAAGAGTACTAAATACATATACTATACTGAATTTCCTTCGATTCCTTATTCTTTATATTAAAACGTTATCAAACTCTTCATTAGCGAAATTAATCGATATAAACGTGTAAATATTTATCAGTTAACACAGGCTCTTAAGTACTTCTATCTTATGAATTAAATCTAAATCAATTTAAAACTGACAGAGTTTGAAATTTGACGTGATTAAATTTTTTTTAAAAAGTTAGGTCCCTAGCTGTTTAATACTTAAGACATGTTTATATTTTATATTTTCTTGCTGTAATTTTTTTTGTAAGACCTCTGTAGTGGAACTCTGAAATTTCAGCAAAAAGTTTAATACATTAAGCAATAAAAATAAAGTACTTTGTTGTTCAACTTTAATGCATTCAACAATTACCAGTTTCATTATAATTTCCTCTATCTGAAACTTCACCTTAAATTCTTAAGCATGTATCATGACAACATGGTCGTGATGCTTTGAATACAATTACATGGAAAACTAAATTTACAACGTTTTGTACTTAAAATTAAAGCTTGTCAGAGAAACATAATTGTATATTTACTTTAGTATAAAATACATCTTTAATCCAGTAAACAGAGTTTTATGAATCCAATTCGTTTTGAATAAATAGTTAAGGAAATTAGTTATTCGAAAATATTACGAAGGTTATTTACTTAGCACTGAACTAAACACGTTTATTCTCTTCAATATTTATAAACTAGTCTCTTTACAAATCTGTTTCATTTGAAATTCATTCATGTTAATTATCTGAATTGATGCAAGTATATTAAAACGAAAGTCTAAGTAACATAAAGATAAGTATTTACGTTTCGAGAGAAAGATTTACTTATCTTTGCGTTCTCAGTAAATAATCCGCTAAAGTTTTTTCAATCTTTATTTTTCATTCACAAACACAGATTAAAATGTAAAATGAAGTTGTTGGTTTGTATAAGTAAAATTATCGTTTAACTTACGTTTATTATTGTTAAACTCAAACGTATTATAATCAGATATCTCTTCTTTTATGAATGTACCAGTTTCAAGGTAAATAAGGTATAAAATAATTGTTATTTTTCGGATTAATTTCGTCTTTCAAGTTGAAACTAATTTCAGCTTGTTATTTGTAATTTTTGGTGGGTTTTTTTTAAAGTGGCTGTAAGAATGTATATTGTTTTGGAAATCCTATCATAATTACATGTAAAATAAATTGAGATTAAGTACCTTACATGTTTTGTCTCCAGTGCTTACCAATAAGACGATTACTTTAATTTTATATTTAAAAAAGAAAAGAAAAATAATTGTGTCAAATGTAAAAATAAGTACTGAAATCAATATAGTTTTGAAAAGACAATAATAATTATTAAAAAAAATATTTGAATAACAATATTTTAGGTATCATAAAATTTAATTTTTAATGACTTATATTCACTAAAAAATATAAATTTTTTTAAAAAAATATATAAATTTTTGCATTTACCTTTTGGAAATTATATAATAAACAAATACGAGAAATGTGTCAGTTAGAAATTGCACACTTTTTATTCAGCAGCTAAAAATACTATTATCAATTATTTGTTTTTAAATTAGGTAACACAAATACAACACATAACGTTAACAAAAATAATGGGCTAAGAACATGAACGGTTTCGCATAGTTACCACGTTTCTTCTCCCCTGGCATCTAAAGGGCGCTTCTGCTGCTTGGGACAGTTAGTTAAAGTTATTATGACATTGAAATGATTGAAAGCTGAAAAAAAAACATTGAAACAATTGAAACACTATATCTATGTATTAATTATATCAAGACTGGAACTGATCAACTGCACAATATTTTTGAAAAGTTGTAGTACCTCCATTAATTTTTAAAAACGCAAAACTATAAATAATATATAGCCAATGTTCTCAAATTGTTTTGCGGATATTAATATTATTGATTTCAAAACCACAGACTTTGAACTTTTTTAGTTTATTTCATAAAATAAAAGTTTTCTTTTCATGTTTTACAATAAATGTAGTACATGAAGAATAATTCCTCTTTCTTCATTCTTTTTATAAATTTAAAAATTAATATAGTGTTTTAAATTATGAAAAGGCTTAGAAAATATACTAGTTAATAAAAATTAAGTTACATTAATCCTTATTTTTATGATGATGGAAAATTCCATCTTAACCTCAGTGAGCACATAGTTGTACTCAAAACAGGTGTATGGTAAATTGGTTGTTGCAGGCAACTTTTTTCACGACTATTATGCAATAAAGAACCCAATTATCAAAAAAGAAAAAAAAATCGACTGTCACAATATTTATAATGGGTTTGAACTTGGCATTCATTGTTTGTTATGGTTGGCAGAAACGTGTGATTTCTTGAATATTTTTTTTATAACTAATCTGAGATATTTTTCCTAGTGAAAATAAAAATGACTGGAAAAAAAGATTTGTGTTTTGTATTTCTGTTATTTTCGGTGAAATTTATACTGAATACCCCAAATAATCTACCCAAAACCATGTGACAAAAATTTACATCACTATGCAATTGTTTCACTTTTAATGAATGGCGAAAATGCTTTTTACTCTATGTTTATTTCATGATATTTTTATAGAGAAATTTAGAAGAGAGGGACATTAAAGATGACCAGTTAGAAGGCGATTATTAATCAAAAAATCCCCTTGATGATGATAATTCTGACGACAAGTATCGCTATGCAGGTGAAATAATAATAATAATAATAACAATTGTGTTTTAATTATCATCAGGTATAAAAATGATTCAAATATATATTATTTCTTATTTATTTTGTACTGAAATTAACATGTAAATTTGCATTATGGCGGATGTTTTCATCATACTTTATTAAAAATTGCTTTATATTATATATTTATATTCTTTTTTTTACTTAAAACATTTTTTTTAATCTAGTGCCTAAAATATATCATCCCGATTTATTTCACAAATAAGAAAAAATGTGTGTGTGTGTACTTATGTACGCACGTAAGAAGTTATACTTCTTTGGCGTAACAAGATTAAAATCTTTCTAAAAATCTTTAGCAAGGCAAGCTGGGCCAAGGACGAAAGGCAGTCACGAGCAGAGTTGAACGATACTAACCTTCAGTCAATCGGACCAGCCAAACCTGAGATAATCACGATTTAAATAAATTTAAACACCCCCGCACAGGAACAATAGGACCAATAATATGGGGAGGGGGTCGAAGGCGAGAATGATCTATCCCGTTCTGCATATTTCTAGATAAAGCATTTTCGTATCCGTTCCTACAGAACGCAAAGCAAAGCTTCGCTAACGCGGAGGTATAGCTCAGTGGTAGAGCATTCGACTGCAGATCGTGAGGTCCCTGGTTCAAATCCGCGAGTCTTCTTCAGGGAAGTGAAGAGAAATAATTTTTTTGAGAATTTCGAAGGCTGCAATGATCTGTCCCATTCTGCATATTTCTAATAAAAGCATTTTCGTATCCGATCCTACGGAACGCAAAGCAAAGACACTCTGGCACGGGGTGTATAGCTCAGTGGTAGAGCATTCGAATGCAGATCGGGAGATCCCGGCTCATACCCGGATGTTCCCATTTTCAGGGAAGTGAAGAGAAATAGTTTTTTTGAGAATTTCGAAGGCGAGAATGATTTGTCCCTTTCTGTATATTTCTAGACAAAGAATTTTCGGACCCGTGACGGTATGCACCACATCCGTGACGGTTTTGCGTCACATCCGTGACGGGGTGCGCGCGCATTGTAAAAATTAACCCTCATCCTATTTCTCTAACGCCCCAAAAGAAGTATAACTTCAAAGAAGATTTCAATAAATCTCTTTCTCTCTCTCTCTCTCTCTCTATATATATATATATAGTTGTGTATTATATAAATATATTACTACTCTCTACTATTATTACTACTATACTATAATATTTTCTATACATATAAATAAAAATGAAGCGTCTGTTTGTAATTTGAAATTAGCAGCTTTTTACTAAATGCATTTAAAAGTATATAAGGTACTTATAAGAAAAAATCAATTTTTAAAATTTTTGTCTGTCTGTATGTCTGTTTGTTCCGGCTAATCTCTAAAACGGCTGGATGAATTTTGGTGAAACTTTCACTGGCAGATAGCTAATGTTATAAGAAATAACTTAGGCTACTTTTATTATAGAAAAAATAGGGTTCCTCAAAAATAAAGTTAAAACCAATGAAATGGTTAACAATATACGTTTCAAATAGGGATCATTTATTTCAATCGACAGTGTCAAAGGCCATGCATCCCTCTCACTACTTGCTTGCGGCGGCTTCCTTTCATCCAACCCAGTCCTCACCCCATCTACAGTGTCAAAGGTCACGCGTCCCTCTCCCCCCCCCTGCTTACAGATTCGTTTCACCCTACTGTTTTTTAGACCTGTTTTGAACTGACTATTGTATATACAGAGATATAGTTAAGTAAATTTAATATTGTACATAGACAGATTGTTCAGTAAATTTAATATTGTATATAGAAAGATTGTTCATTAAATTGAATATTGTACATAGAGAGATTGTTCAATAAATTCAATATTGTATATAGAGATTTAATATTAACGTATTACACATTACGGGCGTTATAAATTTTTAAAAAAAATCTTTTTTATCATCTGTTATATCTACAGATTTAAAATTAAGCAAACATGGTTTTTTATTTAGCTGGGATATGCAAAAAGCTTCTTTTTGTTAAATTTACCATTCCCGTAAAATTAACTCATTAAAAACTTCTTTATCCTTCAGTCTGTATTGTTTAATTTTTCAATTCACCCGTGCGAAGAACGGGTATACCAGCTAGGTTTTACTAATAAAAACGGGAATAAATGTACTAATACGTTGATTAAGGTATCCGACTATCCAAATTCATTATTTTTTTAAAAATTAACAATTTTTTCATGATTTTATTTTATAGGTCATTATTAACTTTATAAAAATACAAATATCTTTATTTTCCATTCACTAGAATACAAACTACAAGTGTTTTAGGAAAAGCAGATGGCCTTACTTCAAGCAAGATTTAAAATGCGTTTTACACGAAATGTGCATTTTTGAAAATCTCAAACGGGGACAGCGATTGTTCAAAAAGTTTTTAAAATAACATGCTGAATTTTTTTTTCTGTATGTTCTGTATAACAATAGAAGTATTTTATCTTTCAGATTAATCAATCACTGTTTTATTACAAAATTTACCATTTTTTATGAGAATATAATGTTTTTTTTCCTTAAGCAATTTCATATAATAACTAAGATAAAGTGTCCTAGTTTTTGTAAAAATTAAAATATCTCTTATCCTGAAGGTCATTTCAAAAAAGAATAGCAAAGTAATACATGAAAATTGAAAAATTGAGAATTTGTTCATTTACTGTTTTTACAGAGCGGGCCCCGTTTATGTAATTTTTGTCAATTTTTACTCATTTTAGTTTTAATAATTTATTTTTCTCATTTTAATTTTAGCCTTTTTTTTCTTGAAACGTATTGAATAAATATAAAAACCGCAAAAAAATCTCCATGTCTCCATTTCTTTTTTAAAAAAGTTGTTACAAGTAGTCGGATACCTTAATTGCAAAAGGCGATAACAATTACGTTTATTTATTAATAAAAGAAGATAAAAGTTAAATTAATATATTTTAAGTATTATGTTCCTTAAAATTTCTAACTAATTAAATATTTATTAATTATAATTATGAATGGCTTTGTTTGCTTTAGCTCAAATGATTACGCTAATTACTGTTAATGTAAGCATTATTTGAAGGTCTCATTGTTAAAATTTATGGCTTATCAATCTTTCAAATAATGTAACATGCACCCTAATCTTTCCCATTTTCTCATGATTTAACGGAGTTCAGTTATCCAAAATTTATCTAAAGTAACTTAATCTTAACTCAGAATGCATATATTAGTCGTAAAAGAATTAGAAAAGATAATTAATTTAAGATTAAACTGAAAAGCCATTTACTATTTCAGGAACATCGCATACGATGTTTTCATCTGTAACAAATGAGTCACTGAGTGTGTGGAATTTATACACATACATCATTTGGCATAACATGAACAAAAGTGATCTTGAGATAAGTATTATTTCACTGCATCAGGTAAATTTCGATTGTTTAAATGATATTGGATGCAGAATCAATTTTCTTTTTAATTCGCATTAATGAACGTTGATGATAATTAATCATACATCATCAGTTATTATGCGTTTTCAAGTTCAATCCTACAGCAAATAATAAATTAAATAATATAAGCATAAATATATAATATTTTAAGTGAACTTAAATTCATTATTATACACTTACTTTTATTAGAAGTGTTGCCACAATAATTATCTCACATAAAAAATGATCGTTTTTTTTTAAATACTGTATCAAAAGTCATGAGATACCTCTTAATGTCATGTAAGATTTTTTTTTTTTGATTCTTCGAAATGCAAAAACTCGACATGGCATTGACGCAAAAAGTCGCTGGAAGTCCATTAAAGAAATTTTTAGCCTAACTGATCCTATGAATTCAACCATTCAAATTGCGAAAATGTTGCTTACGTAGGATTTTGTGCAAACCTTAAATTTTGAACATTTTTTTTTATATTTCCGGTCCGATTTGCACTGGTGATATACATCCCCTAGTTATTAGATAAAATTTTCCCATATGACCGAGAAAACAATAGGGAATAATTTGGCCAAGGACATGGTGCATTCCTTCCTGAAAAATTCCAACACTGTCTGTGTACACAAAAAATTCATGAATAGCAAAAATGGTTTCCAAGTATACGAACAAAACCATATTCAGTCAATGTTTTGTTAAGTTTAAACTAGGGATCCAATCCTAGATATGTAATAATAGACTATACCTTTGACAAGTTCGTAGAGTGTCTTGTTAACAACTTGTGTCAAATGCCTCATGGAGTCTACGTCAGGCTCAGAAACTTACTATCCGCTCTTACCAACTATAATCGTGAATCAATTGACCACGCAAAGTTTTTCTAGTTTCATTTAGGTTTCAACCAATATATTACTTAACCAATCAAAAGCACCGGAGCAAATGGCTTTTTAGAAAGGCACTCACCAATTTCATGAAACCAAAATGTCCTGTATCCTCATGGACAGGAGAAACAGGTCGTATGTCTGACATCGATTTTTGCGGTTATTTGTTGCAGCGTAGCTTGTCTGGTAATACAGACTACTCAATATAGACTATTCAATACAGACATCGTTAATGATGGTTATTTAGGAAACAAAGTTGGTCATTCCTCTGTCTGAATAGACGGTTATGCCTGAAACTATGTGTTTTCATGAATGTTGAATTTCATTTTGTGATATAGTGACTACAAATGCTGATTTTTTATAGGTTATAATTATTTGGGAAACATTGACAAAAACTGAAATCATTACATTCATACATGAATTACATCCATAATGTCTTTCCACTATTTATACTAGCTGAAATCGCTATAATACCAAGGAAAGTAGTTGGGACATTGATTTAATTTACATCATTTCACTGACAAGAAATATAAAAAAATATTATCTACTTATGATTCTATTTTAGTCAATTTTAAAATAATTTTAGTTATTTATACTTTATTAATATAGAGAACAAACATTTAGGAAGACTTGAAGTTATAGATTTAGTAACAGTACATAATATAGATGAAATACATATTATATTGTTTACAAATGCTGAACTCATATGAGCATTGAATAGGGAAAATGTTATGCATTGAATAAGATTTAGAATTTAAACTTAATGAAATAAAATGTTACCTGTTTTCGTAAAAATGAAAATAGGTATGTGAATTTAAAAAGAAACTATTCTATGTGCTTTCTTAACTTGCAACTGTAGGGAAAAAATACAATAAATATTTAAGTAAATTATTCATTTTAATTTCAAAGGCAATAAAAAAAAAACTTGAGATGATTTTTTTTTAATAATTTATAAGAAACCTATTATAACGACTATTTATTTTGTATGTTCATAATTTCTTTTGGATTGGAAAATTAATGTATGTATTTACTGAACTAAATGAGAAAAAAATTCCGACACCTAAAAACTACACTGAAAAATTAATTAAGATTAACAAACTAACCCTGAATGGATTCTCAAATGCCACATAGTGTTCTACAGTTATTTAATGTTGCCATTTACAGAGTGTCTCAGGGTAAATTAACGTTATCGTCTCCAGTATGATATACGAGTTCTATTACAAATTTATATCGACATCCTAAGCATGGGATACGAGTGCAAAGGTTAATTCAATAATATATTCTGTTTTCATCCTCTAAGTTTATGGTTATCCAGGTTCATTTTCTGATGACGAAAAGGCACACAAAGGGATATGTTAATGCAATAATTGTATTTTGAAGAATATTATTAGTAGTAATAAATTCCAAACATAAACATAATGAGTAATATGAAATACTGAATTTTAGGATATAAATTATATTAATTTATAAAATGAAATTTTAAATGTATTAAAAGAAAGCACCCATAAACAGATACTAATGTAATACATTTTCCAAAAGATAAAAGGGCACATTATATGATATACTGTAAAATATTGTATGAA